GGGGGGGGTGTTTTGAAACAATGGTAAACCAAATGTGAGCTAGTGTGGTGAAATCAGGCGCTCATCAAAATAATGAAAGTGAAGAAATGGGCATTTTTTCACTGGTTTGGGAATTTTGATTGAATTTTCGTTTCAAAGGTTCAACACCTTTCATGCCCATTAAAGAACACATTTCTGTATTGATTTTACTGAAAAACGTTGATTAAAGGCATAAAATATGTAAATTTCCTTGATCATTTTCCCTTTGAACCCAGGTGACCCCAACCTCCTTCACTCGCCAATATCTCAACTTGTATCCAAGATAAATGGATATTTTTTAAACCTAAAGCAAGGCAAATGGACAGGCTTTAAGATGATACCCATAAACTCATATGCCTAAAAATTGATGAGCGCCGTATTTCACCACGTTGTGACACATATGGTGATAAATGACTTACGTTTATAAGACTGTGCAGCACATAAATAGGGTGATAAATGACTTACGTTTATAAGACTGTGCGGCACATAAATAGGGTGATAAATGACTTACGTTTATAAGACTGTGCGGCACATAAATATGGTAATGAATGACTTACGTTTATAAGACTGTGCGGCACGTAAATATGGTGATAAATGACTTATGTGTATGAGACTGTGGGGCACGTAAATACGGTGATAAATGACTTACGTGTATGAGACTGTGCGGAACGTAAATATGGTGATAAATGACTTACATGTATGAGCTGCGCATCCTCGTCGCTGAGCTTGCCCGCCCCCCCGGTCTTCTTGAGGTGGTAGTGGACGTGCGAGGCCAGGTACTGGGCGCTGGACACAACGGTCAGCAAACTCTCCAGGCGGCTGCGCGCCAGGCTGAACCGGCACTGCAGGTCCTCCAGCAGCGACAAGAACAGACCCAGTTGGGACAGCAGCGACGAGTGGCTGCTCAGTTCGCTGTTGCTGCTGTTTTTGATGCTGTTTTTGTCGTCTGCCGAGCTCGACGAGGGGCCAGCTCCTCCTGTGTCTGAAAAAAATCAGTGACAGTATATTTGTTACTAGTTTGTCTATTTGTTCGTTTGGTTTTAATTGTCTGTCTGTTTTGTTATAAGTGAAGAATAAAAAACGACACAAAACTGGTCATTAAATGTGGAGAAAAGCAAGAAAGCCTGTACCATTTCTGCAGTGAATGAGCAAGACAGACAGAAACAACAGAGGCACAGAGGCCAAGTGAAGGAGTAGCACCTGCCTGTGGCACCTTCCAACCACTCACACCAAAGACTGTTTTGTCATTTTATCAGTTGAGTACAAGACAGACAGACAGACAGTAACAAAAGAGAGATATAATTTTTTTTAAAGTAGTACCAACCAGTAACAAGCACCTACCAACAAAATGGCTGGCAGGGAAAAAGCAAAACAGAAACGAGAGCAAAGCAACAAAGTAGGACTTGCCAGCGGGCGACACCCTCCAACC